CCAGTGGCTCAGCCTCCCCAATTACCAGAGGTGAACACTCTTGGTACACACCTTTGTGAGCTTTGTGCATAGTCTTGTTGTAGTTAAGCCTTAATTGTTGTAGGTATCAATGGGAAGAATTGATCTCTAGGCCAATTGGCTGTGAGAATCAGCTGTGTTTATGGTGGGAGAACTTCTGTGCTGGAGACACCGTTCTCAGGCCCTAGGTCTCAGTGTCCTGCAGTAATATCAGCAAGCACCTCTGAGAGAAAGCCGCACTTGAGTTCCACCCGATGCCAGACAGTCCAGTTTCTCCCTATGAGTCTGGGTCCCCAGAGACTCTCCCGGAACTGGAGTTCAGAGCAGTCGGGAGCTTGAGATTCCCTCCTGATTGAAAAAGACAACCACTTCCACAGTTGCCAGCCCTTTCCACATGTGCCTCCTTACCTCTGCACTTTACTTCTGCACCTCCTCTGAGTCTCAGTGTGCTTCTAGTTGTAGAATTTCCACTCAGCCAGCCTTCCTGTGGTTCTGGATGATGTCCGTTTTGTCTTTTAGTTGTATTTTTGAAGTGGTTGTGTGAGGCAGCAGTTTCAGGTGTTGACCTATGCCACCATGTTGGTTTGTCTCAGTCTAGGTTTTTCTGTTCATTAGATTTTTTATTCATTTGATTTTTAGATTCAATTATTGATAGATATGCATTTGTTGTTACTTTGTTATTCATATTTTTTATCTTTACCTCTCTTCTTCTTATTCTTCTTCAAAAATACCCTTTAGCATTTCATATAATACTGGTTTGGTGGTGATGAAATCCTTTCTTTTTCTTGTCTTTGAAGCTGTTCATCCAACCTTCAATTCTAAATGATAGCTTTGCTGGGTAAAGTAATCTTGGTTATAGGTTCTTGGTATTCATCACTTTGAATATTTCTTTGCCACTCCCTTCTGGCCTGCATAGTTTCTGTTGAGAAATCAGCTGACAGTTGTATGGATACTTCCTTGTAGGTAACTGTTTCTCTCTTGCTGCTTTTAAGATTCTCTTTTTGTCTTTTGCCCTTTGCATTTTTATTATGATGTGATTTGGTGTGGACCAGTCAGCAATTAAGCATACACTGACACTGACTGAAATAAAGAACAATATACAGGGATTCAATAGTAGACTAGAGGATCTCGAGAATCAAATCAATGATTTGAAATACAAGGAAGCCAAAAAAATACCCAACCAGAAGAGCAAAAAGAAAAAAAAATCCAAAAATATGAAGATAGTGTAAGGGGGCTCTGGGATAACTTCAAGTGTACCAACATCCGAATTAGGGAGGTGCCAGAAGAAGAGAGAAAGATATTGAAAACCTATTTAAAGAAATAATGACAGAAAACTTGCCCTACCTGGTGAAAGAAATAGACTTACAAGTCCAGGAAGCACAGAGTCCCAAACAAGAGGAATCCAAAGACGACCACACCAAGACCCACTCATTTCTTATCTCTTCATTTATCAACAAATAATTATTTGTTGTGGAGATGCCTACTATAGGAAAGGCACAAATCAGAATCCACAGTTATTCAAACTTAGTTCCTGCCTTGACATAGCTAATAATTTAATTGGGGAGAATGTATATAAATAACCAAAACACAAGATAGCACATGGCAGGAAAGAATAATGTAGAGAAGTACAGAGAAAGGAGAGAGAGAATATAACCAAGGTGTAACACATGGCACATAAGAAAACACTTTAATTACCTAAAAGATTGTCTCTAAATTCTGTCTCCTGGGAAGCAGGCTGAATAGAGAGGATAGAGGTTGCTATTGCTGCCAGCATCATTTCTTGATTTGTGATGACATTTTCCTGATTTCTCTTTAGAAATGATACGTTCCCGAACTGTAAGGCTGCCTGCTTTCCTTTTTACTGTTTCAGAGGAGTGGCTAAAGCCTAAGCTAATTAGTGCATATTCACCTGACACCAGGGATTGGCTCAAAGATGGGAACATGATCCCTTCAGAGCAGATAATTCTTTGAATGGGCCTTCTTTGAAAAGACATTTGGTCTTCCCTGCTGGATTCAAAACTGGAAGGGTACAGCCCTGGAGCTTCCAGCATGAAGTAAGGGGAGAGCCTGTTTGAATTAAAAGATGGATCCCAATGACATCATATTAGCCTGAAATTAAGCCATATCTGAAATCAGATTTTTCGTCTCTTCCAACTGAAAGAATTATCACTGAAATAAGACACAAATACAGTTTAATAAAATTTGAGACTTAAGAAAGCCAGTGTAGTCATGGCTGGTTTGGCTCAGTGGATAGAGCGGTGGCCTGAGGACTGAAGGGTCCCAGGTTCGATTCTGGTCAAGGGCATGTACCTTGGTTGCGGGCACATCCCCAGTAGAGGGTGTGCAGGAGGCCGCTGATCAATGTTTCTCTCTCATCGATGTTTCTAGCTCTCTATCCCTCTCCCTTCCTCTTTGTGAAAAATCAATAAAATATATTTTTTTTAAAAAAAGAAAGCCAGTGTATTTTACAGTATACTAGTGGAAAAGAGTGGAATTGTATTAATGTTATGATTAGAATATTGGCAATTGTGGATCAGTAGGAGTTATGCATACATCTATGACACATTAAAAGGGCTTCCGAGACTTTCAAGACAACTGGGGAGATATTACGGGATGCCTTTAGCCAGCAATTGCAATGGAATGTGGGACTATTCCTGGGATAAATTTCCTTTATAACAAGGATCAAAATCTAAAGTCAGAGCCTGGGCAGAAGAGGATGCAGTGGGAACATAAGGTTTGGCATGATCTCTAATGATTTGGGTAGCCT